AAACCACAAGCGTGAACGGCTTTTCTCCGTGTCTGTGAGGATCCTCAGTCATCCAGGTTATTCTCGTAGACTAATCGTAGCAGCTGGACTTGCTTGAGTTCCTTGAAGACGTTCCACCTCTCATCCAAGAGACTTCATAGTTGGTAGTTCAAGATACTGACATCCTTAAGGAGCCATTAACACCTGTGTTTTGGTTTCAGTCGGGGGTTTGTTGCTCCTCCTCCTCGTTATAGTGCTTCCCCTGCCACAATGGGGTTCGTTAGGGTCTCTTGTGACTAGGAAGTACTAATTATAAGTATCTGGAACTCCCAACTAGCCAGTCAGACCTGATGAAGCCTCTTGGATGAGAGGTGGAACGTCTTCAAGGAACTCAAGCAAGTCCAGTTGCTACGATTAATCTACCAGAATGCTTTTCTCCATCAACTATAACATCTTATCCTGAATACATCTCTAAAGCAGAGCTCACATGTGAATTCATGACACTTGAATTATGAGTTTAATGCTGATAACAGAGCACCTCATGTTAAAATGACACGTTAGAGAAACACTCATACAATCAGCAGAACACCAGTTTGCAGTACTGCCAGGGTCCACAAGAGATCAGTATTACAATGCTGTCAAGAGCAACCACCAAACATTAAGCAGTTACTCATATAAGTCTAGTTCTGTAATAAAACATGGCTCAAGTGTGCGAGCAACGCTTGCGTACCGTGGCAAGAATAATGTGATCTCCGACCAAAGGGAAAAAGGAGGGCTCGTCCGGGATTTGAACCCGGGACCTCTCGCACCCAAAGCGAGAATCATACCCCTAGACCAACGAGCCACATGCATGTTGCTAACAGGTCCCGTTTATATAGTTTCATCGCCCACATGCTCTTACCAGCTTATATGTCATGCTATTTAGTATTTAAAAGCGTTAGCAAGAGTCTTTTTTTACACACTCTATGGCCTGGACAAACAGAGAGAACGCTACTGAACACCTAATTAGCTAGCTAGTTTAGCTAGCTTATAAGCACCGCTCTTTGACACTGACAGCTAACTTTAGCTAACTTCAACTTAAGTGAAAAACAGGAAAAACTTCTTCAAACACGCTTTAAATGGCAAACACTCCTTCCTGTGTTCTGCTTTTCATCCTCAAAGACCAGCTATTAAAGCCACAATTAATTCAAATTAACTCGAAGCTAATGGAAACTGTCTCCAGCCTGTATCAACAGAGGCCTCACGTATTGTCGTACGAGTCATTAGCTATCAGTTATCAGCTAACTACAGGTGTAGTACTGCTGCCAGAGCAAACCGGAACGACGCCCCGCCACGTTTCCCTCCAGGTGAGGAAACAGCCAATAAGAACTAATGGTCAGAGTTTTGATATTTAAGGTGTCTTGATTGATTCGCAACGTCAACTCATGCACCTGGTAACACACAAGAAGATAGTCTACCTTAAAAATTGGTCTCTGAGCAGCTCCGTGAGTTTTTTCTTTCTTTCTTTCTTTCTTTCTTTCTTTCTTTCTTTCTTTCTTTCTTTTTTAATTTTAAATATGTTATTCTCGACTCTATGTATGGAGTAGTGAGAGTGCCAATTTACAAAAATAAATTAATAAAAGAATAATAAAATAAAAGTTTAAATAAAAAGAAGAATAAATAAAATAAATAATAAATAATGTGGCAATGCAAAGCAATATTAATCAAAAATAAATCCATAAAACAAAAGGCTAATAAAAGTAGAAATATAGCCTGTTGTTTTTGTTAAAAAATTTAATTAAGAAAACACTTTACTGAAGGTTACTGGAGGTCCTCTGAGGCTTTCCCATAAATAGCACGGGGCATTAAAAAGCATTAATAGTCATTAAATTGATTTTGTGAAAATTAAGACTTTAAATAGCAGTAAAAAACATTACATTTGGTTTTCAGTGGCATTAAAAACATTTTTATTTAGCACTATTTTTTACCGCAGTTAAAAGTTATCTGGCAACTCTTTTCTATGGAAAGTAGATGCAAACCCGCTTTACTCCACTGTGTCCACATTTTGATTCAGTGTAATTGTCATTGTACAGTATAGCATTAAAATGGCATTAAAAAGCATCAGATTTGACTGGCTGATTTCTGCAGAAACCCTAAGTAGGTATCATTTCCTGAAGGTTTCCTCAGGACTCGGTGAAGGTTTAACAAAATAAGGAATGTTCCTTGACTTTTCCTGAAGAATGCTTGTGAAACCTTCAGGGAACCTGCAATGAACACAGGTTTTATTTCAGGCAACCTTCAGTGAGCTTTCACAGATCCACTGTTATCTGGAGAGCTTCAACATGACGCTGTAACGGAGTATTCCTAAAGTCAGTCTAACATTTGATCATATGGTCAGTTAAAGCCGACTGAAGGATGTAGTCACATCACTGTAGGATCAACAGATTCTAAGTAACACATAACTGAAGTTACACACATCAGGTTAGCCACCAACACATTTTCTATCCCTATTTAGCATATCAGTCAATAATAAATACAGTGAAGTGGTCAAAGGAGTGATAAATGTTTTACCAGCAGCCTTCTGGCTCCCTCTCTGGGCCAAACACCACTAATGCAAGTTCAAATGTTCTCCTAATGGATACCATTTTCTGCTTCATTACATGTAGTTGTACTAAATTACCTCTTAAAATAAAAACACATTAACTTATTACAGAGCTACAGTGCTGCAAAACATCAAAGCTTTGGTCTGACCTGTGGTTTGGGGCCCAGTTACACCAGTGGAGTGTGTTCGAGGACTTTCCCCTGATAACCAGGTGCTGGTCGTGTTCTAAATCATGCTAATATAGCGCGCCAGTATTTTCATTTCACATGTACAGCTGACTTTGGTCCAATTGTGTCAGACAACAGTTGGAAGCTGTTTTTTTTCCTGGAATGCCCCAAAATGTCTCAGTCAGCGTTTTAAATAATGCATTTGGATTCTATGAGACACCACACAAATACCCATGTGCCCAATTTCAAGGGTTTACATGTGATTGGTTCATGAGGTGATAGCCGTATTATAGCTGCAGGATATCTCATATTACTGGCATATCAATAACAATGAGTCAATTAATATATCCAGTTGTAAGTTTTTGTGTTATCTTAAGCCGACGCATTTACAAGGTTGAGTGAGAATTAAAGTATGTGAGAAGAAACTAGCAGACCATGAAAATAACATAGAAAATATGTTTTTAAAATGAAACTGACAAAGAACTTTTAAAAGCAAAAAGACAAAAGATGGCAAAAAAATACTAAATACAATATGTGAATAGTAATAAATCCAAATGAAGTAATAATAAATGCTAGAAATCTTATTAAGCAACAAAAACAACATCACAAGCAGCTCATATGTAAGATTCACTTTGAGCATTGAAAAGATTTTCCATTGAAGAAAATAAGCACATTTATTAATCACATTCAGTCGTATTTATTATATTTTTGCTACAGAGGTGGAAGGTGCTGATGGTTCTTGGGGCTCACAGATGGAGGGATCTACAAAACGCTCGACTTCGGTCGGATCACAATCTGGACTCTATGAATAATTTAACACAACAGGGCTGAACCATATGCAAAGTTTTAAGTGAGAATTATTATTTATTACACTATGAGTCCATAGTTTTTTTCGCCCACTGTAAATAATAATAATAATAAAAAGAATATATAAAATACAAAAATAGATGAAAAGGATGATTTAAGCTGCTGTCAACAAGCAAGAGAATGTGATTTGTTTGTTCATTTATAATAAAATAATAAATGCAGTTCCTGCAATCTGGACATATTTTGGTCATACCTATAGTGATGGTTCAGCCTTGGCAACTATGCTACTACACAATAAAAAGAGCAGCCTTGATGATAGTGTTTATTGTTTTTAACACATTAATTATTATAGCTGAGATTGACCACGATTTCTCAGAGCGTTCCACAGATTGAAATGATTTCACAGTAAAGAAAATGTACAATATTTTTATATTTTATATTGTTATATTACTGCGTTCAGTTCTATTGATCACATTCCAACTGTGGGTTCGAAGACGCTGATAATGATTCCTGGGGCTCACAGATGGAGAGGGTCCACAAAACGCTCTGTCTGGGTGGCACGACCATCTGGAACATATGAATAATTCAGGGTAACGCAACGGCGATGAATGATGAAAATAAAAAACTAAAAAACTAACTAACTAACTCACTAAACAAATAAATGAATAATTAAATAAAATAAAATTAAATTAAATAAAATTAAATTAAATTAAATTAAATTAAATTAAATTAAATTAAATTACATTAAATTAAATTAAATTAGTGCAATTTTTGACAGATATTGCAATTGTTACATTATCATGGTCAGAAACGTGTGCTACCGGAAATTAATTGAAATAATTTATATGTGAATTTGAGTTGCTCAACTTGTATAATTGTAATAGAAACTACAATTATTTAATCCAAGAATTAATGCCCTTACAGCATTTTAAACTGAAATTACGAGTTTCAAATCAAAAATGTTATTACAGCTATACAAATTGAGCAATTGAAATTAAAACCATTACAGTTCTAACAGCACGTATTTCAGATTGTAGTGGTAATTACACATTTATTTTATGTATTTATTTTTTTACCCCACTGGAAAAACAAAAAACAAAAAACAAAATGCTGATGTGATTTTGTTTGTTTTTTTGTTTGAACCACAAGCATGTGCTCCATCATGTGTGGTAAACATGACTTATTTGGCTCTCTGTAGCACCACAATGCTTCATTTATTTTTTGTCTTATAGTTTACTTTTATTAGATAATTGCAGCTTCTGTGACTTGGATGTTGCTCTTGGCCATTGATTAACAGTTTAGACCTCCTTTGCATTATTATATATAAAAGCTGCACCAATAAATGAGCAGGGTTTGTTGTGTTTAATGCAGTTTAAACAGCCCAGATTGAGTTTAACAGTCTCTCAGTGTGTCAGTGCTGCTGCTGCTGCTGCTGCGGATCGCGCCCAGTGCATTGTGGTCTGTGCGCGAGAGGAAGCTGCTGCACCGGAATCTGAAGAATTTGAGGTGTCCGCCAAGTCCGCTGTTCATCGGCAGCTCGTCCCTCCGTACCTCCGTCTCCACTATCCTCTCTGCGGGCAGACTGTAAGGTAACACCGCGCTTTTTCGGCCCTTCATCACTTATTTACGAGTCTCCTCGCTGCTGCTGCTGCTGCTGCGCTCGTCGCGGCGTTGAAGCGGCGATGCTAACGTTAGCCGCTCAAGTGAACATCCAGCAGGGGAAGCTACTCGGCTAGTTAATAGTAGTTAACGCTATGCTAAGCTCGCTAGCTGCTAGCCTGGGCTGTTAGCTCGGTTGGTAGTGATGATTGGTACCGTTAGTTAGCCGGCTGGTTGCTATTAAAGTAGCTAATAGCCTGCTAATTAATCAGCTATTATCAGTGGGTGTGTTTGGAAACTAGCTAGCTTAATGCTCACTGTGGTTAGCATATTTCTGTGGCCACTTAAATTGACTTAAACTAGCTTCTAGACTAATGTGGACACACATTTGTCCAATCAGCTGGAAAATAAACTGCTATATATGGCTGTGTCATACATAAAGGGACGTGGTTGTTTCAGTGTTTTGCTGTGGGTGTGTTTCTGACAGTTTCGATTCATTTAAAGTGTTTGAAAACCAGCTAGCTTGATGCTCATTGTGGTTAGCATATTTCTGTGGCCACTTAAATTGACTTAAACCAGCTTCTAAACTAATGTGGACACGTTTGTCCAATCAGCTGGAAGATAAACTGCTATATATGGTTAAGTCATACAAAGAGGGATGTGGTGGTTTCAGTCTGTGGGTGTGTTTCTGCCAGTTTCAGTTCATTTAAAGTGAGAAAAAAAAGTACAAAGCAGCTCACAACACAAGCAGGACAGTAGTAAACATGCATAATCCATATGATAGATGTGATAGGATTTAACGGTATGAGCTTAATCCTTTGAAGTCGTAGCGTTGCAGTGGGACGCAGCTGTACTGCAGCCACCCAGGCAGGAAGAGAGCGTTTTGTGGTGAGGCTCTCTGTCGACAAGCCATTCTGAGCACGAACCACACTTCCTGCCTCTCACGCCGACTGTGAGGCCTGCGAGGATGTGACTGCATGAATTAACCGTCAGAACAGCTGAGAAAGCGGCAGAAGTGCAGGGAATTCTTCTTTTTGCATCTCAGACTGATCGACAGCTGTCAGAACGCTGAACTGCTGATCCAGATATGCACACATGTATTTATTTAAATTGCTTTAAGTTATTGGATCACGAAGAACCGCTCTCTCATCCTGTCTGTACAGCACAATGACAATAAACTGGATCTGATCTTACTGTGTCTTTTCTTTCAGGTTTAGACAAGAAGAATAAAAATGTCTCAGGCCGACAAAATGAAGGTAAGCTGCATGTAATGCATAAACCAGATATCCCATCTGAACCAATGTGGTATGCAGTCATACCAGATTCCTACCTGTGCTTCTGTGGCTTATCTGAACTTAGAATGACAAGTTGAGGCTGTGTATTGCTGATATGCTCCTTTCCTCACTAGCTAATATTCACTTTATTGATCTGTTTTATGTATTGTGCTGCTCTAAACAAACATCACTGTGTGCTTGCTGTGGATGTCAGCTTGTCGTCCTCATGACTCTCTGACGAAGCTTTATGTGGGTTGAAAGGGCCGAAGGCAGCACAAGAACTCGCTGCTTATCAAGCTTATCAGCCTTGACCTTTACTGGAAGGAGGAAACAATGGAGAGTTTATGCATTTTACAAGACCGTGGACGGCACACTGAATAAAGAATTTATATGTTGTTTGATTCTGTTTAGCGCAGCTACGGAGACTGTTAAAGGCATTGGAGAGGACTGTAAACGCCGGACTGATTGAGAGGTGGAGGGGTGTTTTGCAAATAGACTGCAGAGAGGTTCCCATTGCCCTCCTGAATGCCCTGTTTGTCCATGAACAGATGTCTCCTCAGTGATTTCAGCTCTTGTAATTGGCCGTCAAGCTGTTTCTGCAACAGCTGCCAGAACTATGTTAGACTCAGCCCTGATTTATCTCACGAAAAAATGTTTAAGTAATAATTATGTTAAAAGCCACCTTCTTTCATCTTTAGTTGAAACATCGTCAGACACTTTTTTCTCTTAAAGGTCATGACACTTTTCTTGTTTTTTCCCCTACAGCAAGGTCAGTTCACCAACCCTGAGACCCCGGGGTACGTTGGATTCGCCAACCTGCCGAATCAGGTTCACCGCAAGTCGGTAAAGAAAGGCTTTGAGTTCACCCTCATGGTTGTAGGTGAGTGTGTCATCACCTCTTGTCCCTCTCTTCTATGTGATTCTGGTTCTGTTTAGTTTGGAAAATGACAGCGTGTCCTCAGTGATAACAAGGTTCAAGCTAGACGGCAAGAGTAAACATGGACGTCGAGGAATGTGTTTAGGTTTCTGGCTCGTGCTTTTGGGATGAATTTATGGTGGGATCTTGGACAAACGCCTGAACGATATCCAGTCGTTGCTGGAAAATGCTCTTTTTTTCGACTAATAACCACTCAGCTTAACCATCTTTCTGTGTACATTGAGACTGAGCCGGTTGTTCTGTCTTCTGTCGGTGCATCTTTGTGCTTCTTTTGATCAGCCGCCAGCTTCACATGTCACATCTGTGTAGTTGCTCAGCTGGCGTCAAGTCTCCATGCGAGTTTTGTGACTGTGCTTGTTGGCGATGGGGGGAGGGTAGAAGCTCCCCTGAACACTGCTCATCCTTCTGCTTTAAAATAAACCAGAGAGGAATGCAGCCTGTGTGCCTCCAGGGACTGATTCACACAGTGGACAGTGAGGCCTGCTTGTCTTTCTGCTGCAAGAATACTCATCGAGTGCTTATTTAACCCTCCGCGTGACCCTGGTTCTTAAATAAATCGGCGTTTTCCTGTAGGATTAGCTCACTGTAGCTCTGCTCCACGGATAGAAATAATAACGATAACAATTAAAATCAATTGTTCTCTTCATAAAGCACTTTCCCTCTGTGGTCTTCTGCTTTCCTGTGTGTACCTGAAACTACCATCTCGTAGGTTTCCCATAGATGACGTTCAGGCGGATTGCCAGTTCAGGATGTAGGAAAGACTCGTGTAAATCTTTTGCCGCGGCCCTGATGGGAACCAGTAGCAGCATTCCTGTGAAAAGCACACGAGCAGCTGTTTTGTCTCAGTATCTGTAATGTGACCGTGACACTCGGCGAACACAGATTCCTGCATTTCACCAGTTGTTTCTTAAATTTAGTTGCTTTAAATGACTGCTGTGGTTTTTTTGTTTTCGCTCTCCCAGACGAAGAAGCAGATCAAATATTATCATTTAAGTTTCTCTTGGCCCAATTATCAGATTGATTTGCAATTTAGTTTTACTTATATTAATCAAGCTGGTCAATTTATGCAGCACGTTGTCATACACGGAGCTTATTCAAAGTGCTTTACAGACAAACTTAAAAACAAATTAAATTTTGAATGATAACAGAGAGAAAAAAAATCCAAATTAAGTAAATAAAAGTGCTACAAGTTTAATGTAAGTACAGGAAGTTTCATTAGTATCTATAATAACACTTATTACTAGTGATGCACAATATTAAAATTTCTGGCCGATACCGATATCTGATATTAAGATTTCTGATATCGCCGATAACCGATATTACCGATGTCGATATTCAATTTTTGTTCACACCGAAAAATGAGTGTAAGTAAGAACTGTGAGAAAACTATTCAGAAGAAGCCCAGATTAGACCACATAGTCTTCTTTACTACAAAAGTAAAACATATTTAAACATATTTAAGTTCAGGAGCATTTAAGTAAAAACATCTGTGAAATAGCAGCGATATCAAACGTAGAGACAAAGGAGATGATGTTAGACAATCATCGGCTAAATGTGTTCATCAGACCGATACGATATATGGGACAAAACACTGATATCAGCCGATACCGATGTGATCGCCGATATATCGTGCATCCCTACTTATTACTTAAAAGCCATTAACAAACAACAGTCTTCATGTTACTCTTGAAAATGGTCACAGTTACTGTAAACCCGAGTTCCAGCAGCGACTTGTCGCCTCGTCTGGTCTGAACTCTGAGGACCACGAACTGTCCCTGCAGATCTTAAAGACCTTTTAATTCTCCGAGCAGATCAGACATGTGGGTGGCGATCCAAAGGTCTGGGAAGGTTTTTATTTTAAACGATAACCCCCTACTTAATCTGTGGATTCTCATTGTCGTCGCTTCTCTCACGGTAGCTTAAAGAGCCCACGTTATGCTTTTAGAGTTTCTCCCTTTAACGACTTATACGACTGTTTATTGTGCATGTTAAAGGTGTGCAGACTTTGGAAGTCCACGCCAGAGGGAGTTACTCCCTCCCACAGAAAACGCTGCTACGTGTCTTGTTTAAAATCCAGGTGACTTTTTAACATCACCGTGTCACACATCTGCACAACGCTGGCCTCGTGGGCGAGCTTGGCACGTCCTCAAACATAGAATGTGGAGTCCATCTTTATTTCCTCATTAGAGCTGCTTCTGGTGATTCACATAGATCTGAAATTATGATGTGAAACCGACACTTCCTTGGTTTTGTTGGTCCAGTTTAGAAATCAGAGCCAACCGGAGGCTTCTCTGGAGGGACGCCTTAAAGAGACAGGAGCTACAACGAAGCGACACAGACAGAGACAAATAATGTTAATTATATATTCTAATAGACCCCCTAACAGTTCTACACCTGTAAATGAGCGTTATATGGGCTCTTTAACATCTGCTGTTGGTATCATTTAAACTTTGTGTTGCTAAGACGTGAGAAAACCTGAGGGAGTTTTTAAGATCCTACTTGTTTTGTACATAGCCAGTTAAACAGTTCATCTGTTATCAGAGGATATCAGGAGAGACACTCCAATAAAAACAGCCTGAGAGTCTTTAAACGCAGCATACAGATGCAAAGACGAGAGTAAATATGGACTAAAAAATCCAGCTTCTTACTCAGCTCTAACATTTGAAGGAGTCAAACTAATGCTGCTCTCCTTCCTCGGGCTTCAGGAATCTTTTAATTAGCCGACCGACAGTTTTGGGAAAGATTAACGCTGAAGTCAGATTTACTATCGCGTTGATGTGTGTTTCCGCCCAGTGTGAAGCCTCGTGTGCGTCACAGCAGACGCTTCATTTCCTGCTGCATAGAGAGGATGTCTTTGTTCTGAACTCTGCATCAGACAGGCTTTGCAGAACTCAACTGAGCAATTTTTTATCAATCTATTCAGAGCATTATTCATCTACTTCATCAGTTTGATCCGGTCTGCTCATGCTCATGTTGTTTCAGTCTGGGTCCTCACCATTTAATCCAGTTTTACTCACTGTGAATGCATTTCCTCTGTTATCTAAAGGTGAATCTGGGCTTGGAAAGTCCACCTTGATCAACAGCCTTTTCCTCACTGACCTTTACCCTGAGAGAGTCATCCCCGGAGCAGCAGGTAGAACATACCCCTAACTAAAGTCATCTGTTTTTATTTCTAAAGCCCCACATGAACATATTAATCTTTGACAAAGCCATTTAGTCATCGGCTGACTTTGTCTCTTCCTTCTGACAGAAAAGATCGAGAGGACGGTTCAGATCGAGGCGTCGACGGTGGAAATCGAGGAGCGAGGAGTGAAGCTGCGTCTCACTGTGGTGGACACACCAGGATACGGCGACGCCATCAACAGCCAAGACTGGTATGAAGTCACGTCAGGGTGGAGGCCACCTAGTCAATGAGTTTATTTTCTTGATTTAAATGATGCAGTAGCATGGGGCAGCTTGAATATAAGAAATGTTTTAAATCTTAAGGACAGCAGGAGATTGTATGTTTCACCTGAGCTTTAGTGGGTCAGCGTATAATCTGTGTTTAACGTTATTTACGTTTCCTTCCAGTTTCAGCACCATCATCAGCTACATCGATGACCAGTTTGAGCGCTACCTCCACGACGAGAGCGGCCTTAATCGTAGGCACATTGTTGACAACAGAGTTCACTGCTGCTTCTACTTCATCTCCCCGCTCGGCCACGGGTATGTCCTGCCATACGCCGCACAAATACCATTAAAGTCCTCTGTGTTTAGCTAAACGTCTTCAATATACAGTCGTGACTCGATAATCGACCCTTAACAATCCTAAACCTTGCTATCCGACAGGTTTTTAGGAAAAACCAACAGAACCCATAAAAACAGCCTTAACATAGCGACAGCCTTGGATTCTGACTCCGACATGACATTTTATGTCACCAATCAGGATAACGGCGTATTATCTGACTGAACAATCCCACAGATTGGCTACGTTCACACTGCAGGACTTGATGCTCAATGAAGATTTCTTTGTGAGTTCCTTCACATTTCCAGTTAAATGCGACTTGTATGTGATCTGCTGTGTGAACTTCATACGACCCAAAAGTGTCCCGCATGCGCAGAAGAGGACACGACGACGTCACACGCAGCGAGCGTGCTCAGTGTTTACGGAAGTAAACATGGATGGTAACGGTGGAGCGTATCTGCCACTCCCCCGCCGCCACCGATGGTGGAAGTGTGAGCGCTAACTAAACTAGCATCAGCAGCCAAGTACTGCCTGTGTGTTCTGGACACTTCCACCCCGTCAGAGCGCTGCCCCGGGGTGGAAGTGTCCCCCTACCGCACCGAATGTTCTGATAGTTGGGCCTGAATATCCAGAGAGCAGAAAGTGCTATTGGGACCAGCCCTACTACTTATTATAACAACTATGAACAATAATTAACAACTAATGAGCCTTCCAGCATCAAGTCCTCCTTGTATCTCGACCTCCGTCTTGACAATCCGACAGCCTTGCTATCCGACATAAAAGAAGGTTTTACATTTAGTGTCGGATTATCGAGTCATGACTGTATTCTCATTTCCCAAGTCCTTGCCTGAATCCTTTGTCTCTTCTTGAGCCTCTGTCCGTTTCCTGTCCCGACCAGCCTAAAACCTCTCGACGTCCAGTTCATGAAGGCCATTCACAATAAGGTCAACGTGGTTCCTGTCATCGCTAAGGCCGACACGCTCACCCTCAGAGAGAGGGAGAGGCTCAAACGCAGGGTGAGGACGGCAGAGTTACCTATTGTTCAGGGACTTTTTACACTTCCTGACTGGAACAGCGGTCAGTCATTGCTTTAGTCATCTGGTGTGTAAAAATACCACATGGTCGCTGCCAGCGCTGCAAGAAATGATTCAGATGATCAGAATGTTGTCTTTGTTGACAGAAGGTTTGTCCAGAATAACAGACATTCACCGTTGTTTTGTCACTTTCATGTTGGTTCTTGTAGATTCTTGATGAAATCGACGAGCACGGCATTAAGATCTATCACCTTCCTGACGCTGAGTCGGACGAAGACGAAGACTTCAAAGAGCAGACCAGGATCCTCAAGGTACCCTTTGTGTTCTATGAAGTGGTTCAACATGAATGAATTCTCTGATTTACTTATTTTTTCTTTTGAGAGGAATTCTTGTCAAGGAGGAGAGCAGTCAACATTGAGGCCTCTCATAAGATTTAATTCCAGCCATTAGGATTTGTTGAACGTCTTAAGAGTTTCAAGTGTCATCGTAATAAAAGAAAAGTCATAGTCCATTAAAAACTAGAGTCTGATGAAGGCTGTGAGTGTAGACGACATAAACAAATAAAGGCCGGTCCCCAAATACAGACCAGGAAAAGAAAACCGTTCAACTCCTCGGTTGCTTTCTGTTATGCTAACTAAGGCCACGTTTGCACGTAGCTGGTATTTACAAAAACAGATCTACGTTTTCAAAAAAAATCTTGGTTCACACAAACCTGCATAAACACGTTGCTATGAGCTGCCAGACCTATAGGGGGCAGTGTAACGAGAAGCATAAAGCCATGCTAGCCAATCAGAATCCTGGAAAAAACCTGTAATATGGTCGCACACTATCGCTTTAAAAAAAAAAAAGAGATGAAGAATTTCTGTCTAATGAACTACAAGAGGGCTTTTATTTGAAACCGTTATGTGAAAGATTAGGTTTGTGTTAACAGAGTTGCTCAGTATCTTTAACAGGAGCAGCAGCAGCAGATCAAAGAAGGTTTGTGCTAAAATTCGACCAGTCGTACTGACCAAACAAACGACATTAGAAATAAAGACTCTGATACAGCCTGCAGGAGGGCTAAATAAAGGGCCGCCATTGGAGGAAATACAGTAGTTATTGGCTGGCTGAACCATGACAACAGATGCATGAAGTACGACTCCTCTGTGCAGGCCAGCATCCCGTTTGCAGTGGTTGGATCCAACCAGCAGATTGAGGCCAAAGGAAAGAAGGTCAGGGGCCGCCTGTACCCCTGGGGAGTGGTGGAGGTGGAGAACCCAGAACACAACGACTTCCTCAAGCTGCGGACCATGCTGATGTGAGTGGAGGAGGAGGAGATGAACAAGGCTGTGATGCCATAGAGAGCTACAGCACCTGTAGACAGCGTTCAGCCCAGTTTGGAAGCTTTTCCCTTTTGTTTCCTTTCAACGTTGAATCAATTTAATTTGGCTTTTTTGACAAGACTGGACAAAAAAAAACACTCTTAAATGTCAATGTTTATAAAGTCACTTCTGTTCATTTTGTATTTTTAATTAATTGACATTACTTTATAGAAATCTGTTTTCACTTTGACATGAAAGAGTCTTTTTAAAAAAGAGTGTCAAATTACAAAAATAAATCAATAAAAGAATAATAAAATAAAAGTGGAAATAAAATAAAATAATAAAATAAATTCTAATGTCATTATAATGTCGCTTTAAAAGCAAAGGGAATGTCGTGCGCATATTTTCTTTGCTTTTAAAGCGACATTATAAAATAATAAATAAAAATAGATTAAAAAAATTTTAAATGAAAAAAATTATTTAAAAAAATTTTAAATAATAAAGAAAGAAAATTTTAAAAAAAAAAAAAATGAAATGTTTATTTTTTATTTCCACTTTTATTATTTATTGATTCATTTTTGTAATTTGGCACTCATGATTCCAAAGAAAAGCAATAAAAAAAACTTTTTATAGGCTCTGTAATGACCTACTGAACTGTGTACACGGCCTGTATGTTCTTGTTTTACCATAAACACAGTGGGACTCAATAAAACTGTCAGGATAGTTTATAAGGATGCCTTCAGCATTGGAATATTGTTGACAACTGATTCTCTGTAAGCAGACAGCCTCCGCCCCTCCTTTAGAGTGACCATTTTGAAAGCCTGAACATGTCTGTGCGTGTACATTCACTGTCGATTTTCCTATGACCTCCAGAACCCACATGCAGGATCTGCAGGAAGTGACCCAGGACCTGCACTACGAGAACTTCCGCTCAGACCGCCTCAAGCGGGGTGGCAGGTTGTCCTCCCATGGTTACGTTCTGCCTCTGTCTCCTGCGTACGTACTTGTCTGTCAGCTTGCTTCTCTCCGCCTCCCCCTCCTCAAACAGCTGAAGATAGTATACAGTAATCATACACCTCAGATACATGGAACTTCTACCAGAGGGGCCGATGAGCAGGAGTTAGTCCTGTTGAACTGGATCTCATTTCCTTTTATTCATAGAATGCTGTTGAACTCGTATCAGTTTGTAGTCGAGTAGCTCTAACTCTTCGTTGTGCATGTCGACGACACCAGTGGGGCTGTAGGTAGAACTGGGTTTATCGCTCTGGGCTGTACTGGGTTGTTGTTTTTAATATGTTCAGAGCTAGATTAGAATGTGTAGTCTGAGTAGCTGTGCAGGTTTACACAGGATCACTGTTTCATTTAACATAGTGTGAGTTTATCCTCATTTAACCCCTAATGTAGACCCCAAACACCGTTTTAGAGTTTCTCCTAAAGCCAACCCAGGATAAGGGACTGGTTTTACTGTCTTCACATTGCCATCTGTCCAACGATGGCTGGCCTTGATTTGTCCAAACCCATGAGTTGGAGGTACTGTTTGTTTTTTTTTTCTATTCTGGGGGAGGTAACGCTGTTCCCCTGACTTTTGCTTCCCTCCTACACCTCCCTGTTTTCATCTCTTTGTAGTTATATGTTGTAGATGCCCACTTTCCTCTCGTGATGCTTTCTTTCTGCAAAGACAAACTAACCCACTGACCCCTGTTTTCCACTTTCTCAATGTGGCTTTTGTAATGTTTGCTTAATGCTGCTTAAAATGACTCAACATGTACTCTGTGACACGCAGACGTGTTCTCCGCTGACTCGTTGTTCTTTATAAACCATCACACAGAGCACATGTATAACCTCTCTGACTGCTTTCACCTCAGCGATGACTCTGTTGATTTTGTTCACGTGTAAACACAAAGCAGTAACTGTAGTTGTGTCGCTGCTGCAGAAAGGGGCCGGAGCCGGAGGAAATGGACAAGGACATGATCCTGCAGGAGAAGGAGGCTGAGGTGGGACACTTCACACTATTTTTTCCTCAAAAATACAATCATAGAATATCGTTTGCATTTGTAAAAGGAAATAATGAACAAATACACAACTGCCATCGCTATCACTTCCAAATCACAGCAGTGAACGCGCCTCGTTCTATTGAAACCCTTCTTTCAACAGAGTCCCGTCGGAAGGCCGTTTTGCCTAGACCTACGAAATTCTGTGGGCACGTTTAGCACATCAGGACGCACAAAAAAGTCAAATAGCACCAAGCCCCGAACCTGACAGGAAGTCCGTCATTTAGAAAAAACACACTGAGCATTTTGTCGATTTTCCTCATTTTTGGCCATTTTCAAAATCTGTCTTCTCCTACAGAGAAGGTCATACACACCGACAATTTGTCATCACAAACTACAGGACGTGGTGATTAAAAGTTAGTAAAACAGTCTGTAAAAGTCTGATGGCGTAGAAATGGCAACCTGTGGAATTTGGCCAAAACGCCATAAAACGGTACGAGCTGTGTAACTGGCCTGTACGTGCCACGATCCGCTTGAAACTCGACACGCTAGATCAGAGTCCCGCCCGGAGCAGGTTTGCGCCACACCCCGACATGCACGAAGGCCAGAAATCGTACGGCAAGGACCCATGCATCTATTTAATTTGAAGTTGTTTCCCTGTTTTATACATATGTTGATGTTTCATGTCATTCCTGCAGTTGAGGCGGATGCAGGAGATGATTGCCAAGATGCAGGCCCAGATGCAGAAGCAAGGAGATGACGACGCCCCACACGCGTGAAAAATGTCTAGTAAGTATAATACTGACTAGAAATGCACACAGGTCTATGTTGAAGTAGTTGGAAAATGGCCTTCTGGAGAGTGGCAGGATTTCTTGTGCCATTATTTGACTAGAGTGACGTCTAACTTAGAAGAGTCACGATGAAAACACACTGGAAGTTGTTGTAGTTTCAGGATTCTCAGTATTTAGGAAGTCATGAATAAGCTGTTAGTTATTTGGACAGTTTGATAACCTCACTATAGGTTTAGTTTGTTTGTTAGTGCAATACTATGCATTAGAAGTCACGTGATTCACTGTGACTCTCTCTGTCACTGGTTTGTCTGAATGGAGCTGCAGGGAACGTTAATGTAGACGTGACTTGTGACTGAATAACGGATGAATGAAGCAGCAGTGCTTCATACAAGGAGGACTGGTGTCACAAAAGGTAGATTTCAAACTACAAACTACCAGTATTCCCCTTCGTAGTAATCCTCCTGGAGTCTAACACCCTTCTCCAGCCTTCTCTTCACGCGCCATGCACTCCTGGAAGGATTCTTCTATTTCAATTTTATTTGTGTAGCGCAGTTTACAACTTATGCCATCTCACAGCGCTTAACATACAAAATTTAACAGAGAACCCACAATTCAAACTTGCCTTTGGACTCCCTCTGCGCAAGTGGTTGGCAACGGTGAGAAGGAACCAAGGGGGACAAACCTCCAACAGAAACAGGCTCAGGAAAGGCGGCCATCTGCCTGGACCGGTTGGGTGAGAGTGGAGAAAACTCTTCCAGGATCCTCTCGGCTCCGTCATCAAAGCCATCTTGATGTTGTCCACGTCTTCTAAACGGGTCCCCTTGATGACCCCCTTGAGCTTGGGGAAGAGGAAGCAATCCCACGGAGCCAGGTGGGGTGAGCAGGGAGGCTGCTCCAGCACGGAGATGTTCTTCTCAGCCAGGAGCTGTGGGATGCTCAGGGCGTTGTGAGCAGGTTGTCATGGTGAAGCAGCCTCCACTGGTCCTGACACAACTCTGAACGAAGCAAATGCTATAGGATCTCTGTGTAGACGTGCTGCTTGTCTGAAGGGGAAACTTGTGTAGTTTGGGTTTGAGCTCTATCTTTAGTGGCACCAGTCCTGGAACTTTTCCGACACACCTCGTACACATGTAATAGGATTTGTTTATCTTAAGTTTCTGGTCTTTCGTGAGACCAGGTGTGGTTTCATAATTAACTTTATCTTCTGGGTTTCCCTCCAGGTATCTGAGCCACTGCTTGAGTTTGACCAGAGAGATGGAGAAGGTGTGAACGCCGTCTGGTTCTTGACTCCTACTGCTCGCCACTATCTTTATTTCAGCTCCACGTGAGGATCTGGAATCGTCTTTTATACGTACAGCAAAGTATATTCCAACAGTGTTGTGTTTATATATTTACACACGGTTCTTTTTCTTTGTTTTTGTTTTTATAGTATCGTTTTACAAAAAAAAACATTTGCCAGTTACTCAAATGAAGTCATGTGACCCATCTTTTTTTAAAATGGTGACGCACATTTTATTAGGATGTTCTGTTCCTTTTCCATTTTTTTTTCCTAACTTTTGTTGTTATTCAGAAAACCAAAGTGTTGCTGCTTCCATTCGATGGTTTTCAAACATCTCTTTGCTCAGTGAAAGAGCTTCATTGGGAGAGCCAGCAATGGTGAAAACTCGTAGCAGAAACTTTTTATTCTGTTGTCACACAATTATGTCACTATTATTATTATTATTTCTGTCAAGAGAAAACCTGGTTTTGGATCGCCTCTGGTTATGAGTCGACCACACAAGCTTGCCATTAGATAGGCTCTCATCCTGCTCAGTGTTAATCATGTCGTCCCGCTCATGTGCATGCTACTACGTCTGGTTAATAAATGAATTTCTAGCAGTGTTGAGGTCAGCTTCTCCCTTTCCCCGTCTCATCCAGTAGTGCTGTTCTCACGTCAGCGTCGCCACAAACGACTGCCTTCAAGCGTGGCGACGCTGCTTTTAGAGTTCGATGAGAAATTAAACTGTGACCTGTAACTTCCTGCAGTCTTCCTGTTACGCCCGACGAATGAAGGACAAACACGCGAGGCGTCGTGATGCCTGCTCGGTGCTTTCAATTAACATGTTTCCTCCACGTGCCCTCTCGAGTGAAGTCTTGTGCCAGGACTGTGTAGTGTTTCATTTAAGACGTGTGAACTTCTACCTGTCCCGACCGCCGAGCGCTCGGCGGTCAGAGGTGACCCGACAAGGTCGATGTAGCCGACGTTCCCCTCACCAGCCGAGATGAGAGTTCTTGACATTCCTCTTTGTGCTGTTTTTACCCAACATTAAAGTACCAAATATTGTTCTTGATGCTTATATTGTAATAAAAGTTTTATTAAACTTCAACGATCTCGACTGATTTGGGCCTTTTTTCCCGCCAACTTTTAGTCATTTCTCATCCCAGTAGATGTTTGTTAAAGGGAGGAAATGAAATAGTGAAGATGATAAAACCTCCTGCTCATCGGGTTGAATCCTGACTTCTGTATAAATCTGTTTGCTGTTGTTGGTTAATATAAATCTACATTTAAGTGTCATCACTGCACCAAACTGAAGAAAAGTAAAAACATAGTAGGTAGTAATGGAATAAATTCTATCAGTTCTTTTGTCACTTTGGGGATTAAGTGTTTGTTTGTTCTAACACACAGCAGCTCTACATCAGAATAGACGTCATGAAACAACCACGGACTGGAAATGATCACATGCAGAATGATAGTGGGTCACAGCTCAGAAATCACACGTCGGTAACAAGATGCACATTTCAAGATTCAAGATGAGTTTTATTTGTCACATACATGTTTATACACGGTGCAATGTGCAGTGAAATGTGTTTCGTACCAGCATCTAGTTTCAATAAAAGAAAAATGAGTGCAACGATAGCGTCGGGGGAGAAAAGGGAGTTTCCAGGATGGCTGGGCTGCTTCAGGATCTTCACCGTCCTTGACCTGCATCGTTGGGTGTAGATGTCCTGCAGGTTGGGGAGGGTGGATCCGATGGTCCACTCAGCTGAACAGACCACCCTCCTCAGGACCAAGAAGTCCTGCTGGGTGCTGTTGCTCATCCAGGTGGTGATGCTCCTGCACAGGATGCTCTCAGTTGTGCAGGTGTAGAAGCTCCTGAGCAGGAACTTGACATCTGTCAGGCGTCTGAGGAGGTAGAGACGCAGTCTGGCCTTCTTCACCGTGGACTTTATGTGAAGTGACCAGGACAGGTTGTGTGTGATTGTCACACCAAGAGATTTAAAGCTGTCCACTCTTTCCACCTCAGACCCACTGATGTGGAGTGGATGGAAGACCCTCTGCTGTTTCCTGCTGAAATCCACAATCAGTTCCTTAGTTTTGCTGACATGCATTGAGGTACTGAGCTTGTTGATGTAGCTTGTGGCTCGTTATCTCACTCATTTTTAAGCCCCAGGATCCTGTAATTCAGCTCCATCCAGAGCATCATGCGGCAGATTTGTTGTTGGTGGAGTCGTGGACATCTGAGCGTCTGGCTGCAGCCCGAACTGACATATCGGCACACCACCAGCTCCTTCTCGTCTTGTCGTCTTTGGCATCACGTCATTTGAATAAAGTTGTGGTTTAAGGCCTTTTATAGTCACTGCTCCAGGTGGCGTCTGTGTGCCGGTCACGCTGTCTGATCGTTACCTTTAAAGCCACACCTGGCAGGATGTGGATCAACTCTGTGGTGAAGACTTTCTCACCAATTCAACAACTTCTTGTGCAGAGTTAAATAAATAAACCCGTTTCTATACACAACCAAAGAAAAGAGACTTTCAACTTTTTTCTGTAAGTCAAGAACATTTGTTCTTCGGTGTCTAATTTTAGTTCAGTCTGCTGTTAATAAAATGGAAAGAGCCTGAAGTCACCTAACATACACATGAGCTGGAGCTTTCTGTTCCCTTTGCGCTTCATTTCAGTGAGATTAATTGCCTCTGAAAGACAGAACCTCCGTGAATCTGCCCCGACTGCGACAGGGCGTCACTAATTACAGCGGTGAGGTTAATTACCCAAAAACCCCGAGCTTCCATTCTTATTTAACGGCAACAGAGAAGTCACATGACGGCTTAACAACCCATAAAGACCATCTGACAAGTGCATTTACATGTCAGCCGTGAGTTATGTCAACATTTTTGTAGGTACAGGATCGATGCGTCGCTGTTCAGGAGTGCACGTCACGCTGTGATACTGGAGCATAATGTGTTTATATGAGACAGACAAGATGAAGTCCAGCTCACGTGTTCATATCAGACAAGAGGCTGAAGACGAAGGGACATTTTCCATAGACTTTATTATAGTTGTTTTCTTCTCACTCTAACAGGTGTACACAACGCTCTAAATGTCATGGCTTTTTTGTCTTAAATACTCTCCGCTCTTAAAGAAAAACTGTAAAAATATTTAATTATAACTAATTAAAAGATCTCTTCGGGGGACAGGACTGGGAGGGGCGCAAAGGTACGAAGGGCCGGAGGTGGGTGTGGGGTTCATCTGTGGTCCTTATCTGAGAAGCCGGGCAGGTTCGGGGAGGCAGAAAAAAAGGGGGGACGGGGGTTAAGTTACATCCAGCTGGGGTTTCACCGCGAAGACGGGGTGGTGTTACCGTTTAAAGAAAACCTGGAGGGATGACAGGAAGCAGCAGGTTAGAATGAACTGAGCATGCTCTGTAATGAACTGAGCCTGGGAGGCGGCGGGTCGCTGCATCACCTGCACACTCTCTCCATCATGTGTGAGACCAGGAGGTCGGAGATGCCTGGACAGGACTCCTCGGCGAGGTTGAAGGCGTTCTCCAGCTCCTCGATGGCTCCCACGCCGCCGCCGCTCGCCCGCCGCTTCTCCTTCAGCTGGTGGTAAAGAAACATCAAACAGAGAGAGAATAAGAGTTCATCCAGAGCCTCAGCAGGTTGTTCCATCTCAGATCAGCAGCAGCCCTCTGACTCTGATGTGCTTGAGTTTTAAAAAAAAAATCATACACTATGGATATTTAAAATGGCATCTGTGAAATTTTAGATTTATCAAGTATAATCCGAGACATATTTTATTCCAAATTGCCCACCGATCCAGTTTTTTCACACATTTAAGTCACTTCTTAAAACACATTTTTATCAGAGAGCTTTTCCTGATTTTATTTAAGTTTTATAGCTTCCTGCTTTATTCGTGTGCTTTCTAATTTTATCAGTTATTCTGTGTGCTTGTTGTTTTTTTTGTTTTTTGCTAATGTGCAATAAATAAAGTTTATTATTATTTAAATTTAAGACTTTCAGATTTCAGGAGCCATTAAAGATAAATGCCTGTTATTTCTCTTCATGCCATTAATTCAGAATCTGAAATGCTGGATAAGTGGATGAAGCTGTGACGAGTTAAAAACTAAAGTAGACTAGTCAAAGATAGATTTTTTGATCGCCTCGTCTAATACTGCAGATTCTAGGTCAGTGGCTTCATGGGAAATAAATGAAATGTCAGTCCTTTCTCTTTAATAGTTCCTGAGATGTTCAAACACGGCCTGAAATTTCAATGTGCAAAAAAAAAAAGTGCTAAAAGTCGGTGAATTAAAAACAACAACAAAAAAAAAACAATAAAAAAAAATATCTTCATAAATGACCAGATCTTACGCTACTAGATTTTATTAAAAATCAAACATGGTTGATTAGAAGTTGTTCTAAAACTTCTAATAAATTTTACTACCTCTAATTCTTTTATATGACTTCAGAGCAGGAGTGTCCAATCCTGGTCCTCATCAGCTCATCATCAAGCTCTGCAGAACCCTGATAACGATCCTGATCATTTGAATCAGGTGTGCTGGAAGAGGGAAACATCTAAAACATGCAGGACTGTGGCCCTCCAGGACCAGGATTGGACACCCCTGCTTCAGAGTGTATGTATAAAAGCTTTTATCTTTTTATTGGTATAAGAGGAGTGGCACAGACTCGGGTATAAATTCTGTTATAGAGATATGGTTTTGAATTATCTTTTACTGGCTGAAGAATGATTAGAGTTATTCTGGCACTAAACTCAGTCAGACATGTAGAAACCAGCTGACACCTCAAACAACAACACCTCCAGGGATCTACCTGCTGGTATCCGTACTGTACACTCATGCTACTTACACCTGCTATCATCAGACACACACACATTGTCACTTTATATAAAACTAGTGCTTTTATTTACTAACTGTAATCTGACTATAACACCAGTTCTCTGTGTAGAAACGCTGCTCTTCCTCTGAGCGACACCTTTTCATTACCTGGGTCTATTTTTAGCAGCAGCACTATTCTTCTGCTGTTTCATGTTTGCTGCTCAGGCAGAGACGTCACCACAGTTAGGCTGTACTACAGAGACAATAGCTCTCTGATCTGAGTGCGACTTCTCAATAAATGTCAGGTAGTCCGTTTCTGAGACCACAAAGAAAACACAGAGCAGATTTGTAGTTGTAATCCATGCAATTAAATCTTCCTACTTCCACTGAGTGCTGACAACTTTAAAGCTGGTCTAAGCAGGTTTGTTTTTTGGGCAAACATTGCATACTAAACTTGCAGCACATTTTAATTCAAATTCATGACTCAAGAACATTCCAGATGCATTATAACCAGCTCCTTGTTTACTCTTTAAGATGTACAGGAGAGCTCACTTTCATGTCCTTATTGTTGGGATCATCTGTGTCTAATTCATAACACCACTGATTAATAATGATTAATGCTTGGGCGGCCAGAGGTGCATGTTTTATCCTAAACTGTAACTCAAACTGCTTTCTTATTAAATTGAGGTCACCCTTCGTCTAAATGAAGTGGAGGTGCAATCAGAAGCTCGGCCTACCTCTCTGAAGATGGGTGTTACCAAGGCGGACAAGCTTTGCGACTTGGGTTGCCTTTTCACTGAATCTCCTGACTGCAAAAACAGGAAAAAAAGGAGTGTTAGGAAAAAAATTTCTGTGCGCATTGGCGTCACCGTCTGCAGGCGTCTCACCTCTGAGTCCGTGTGCGTGTAGCCCTTCTGTAACTTGGTCATAGAGTTGGGTCGGACTGTGGGGAAGGTCCACATGGGACACGGGTCTACATCACCGTCAGCATCCCTGGAAGGAGGACAAAGAGAGGGAGAAGTTTGAAAAGCAGATATAGAAGAGAGAGAGAGGAATATTTTAAAAATGAGAGGGACCTGTTTTACATTTCATCCGGTCTGAATCACTGGATGTAGATGGTGAATATCAGCCTGCTATTGGCCACACGCTTCACATGACTTCCATTTCCAAAGTCAAAGAAACAACCTCCAGGCCAATAACCTCTCACAGTGAGAACTGTAATTGTCGCAGAGGATTTGGGTCGTGCAGTAAAGCAGCCCTGCTGGTTAGTCTCAGTGA